CCCAGATTTTCTGTGGCTGTCCCTGGATCCCTGGCAGTGCCCAAGGCCAGGCTGGATGGGTTTGGAGCTCCTGGGACAGTGGGAGCTGTCCCTGCCATGGCAGGGGTGGGATGAGATGAATTTTAAGGTCCCTTCCAAACCATTCTGTTGTCCTATTAATAAAACCAACATACCCCTTTATGGTTTTAATAGTGAAAATCATTTAGATGCAAAAGTATTTTTATTTTTCTTTCTCAGTATAAGAACCTTAAAAAAAAAACAACCCAGAAAACACAAGGCATTTTGTGAGGCAATTAACTAAAACAATTCCTAAAAGCATTTTTGTCCTGAATATTGTGGTTGTAATATCAATATAAGTTTGCAAATTTTCAGCAGTTTTATGTAGAACTGTTCCAGCTGTTAATCACACCTTACCTATAAAATGTGTTAGTGAAATAAAATCTGCTACAATAGCAAGGCTTCCTGTTTCTACAAATTCAGGTCATTAAAGAAAAGGAAAGAAAAATCTCATAGGAATTAATCTCTGTAAAGTTTGATTTTGCACCTTTTTGCCTCTGTTTTATTGGTTCCTCCTTATTTTTACCATGAGGTTTCTTGGTTTTTGTTGCTGTTAGAATTTTGGTGGTCTGGTGTTCTTTTTCCTCTTGAAGTTTGTGATCTGCTCCGAATTAAAGAATTCCTTGGAAATGGGAAATTCTCAACCACACCAAGGAGATCTCTCCTAAAAAACACCCTTGTGAGAAAAGTAAATTGATAGTTTGCAGGAAATGCACTTTAAATTAAAATTTCTCTGTCATTTTTAGGAGATGTGAAAAAATGAAATTAAGTTACTCTTGTTAATGTTAGGGCTTAAAAATATTGCTTAATATTGTGCATGGTTCTAAACTGAATTTTGGTATAGTCTGGAATATAACAAAGAGAAAGGATGAAGAGACAAGGATGAAGTGACATGCTGCCCAGAAATAGTGGCTGCAGACCCACATTTCTGTAACTACAATCAAATTCAGGTTTTGGTGTTCACAGGAAGCAGCTCACTAAACCAAAAATAGAAAAAAAAAATCAAAAATATTTTTAAAAGTGTTATCAGATGAATTAAAACTCTGGCAAATTGAACAATGTGGTGTATTAATATGCTTTATTATATGAGTACCAAAATATCTCAGTTACTTCCCATTTTGAATGTCAAATTTAGGCTAGTATTATCTGGAAAAAGCTGTATTTCATAGCTGGGACTGATTCTTTATGGGACTGATTCTGATTCTTTATTATCCATTAAATTAATGGAGTGAGAACTTTCACCATTAAAATTTTAACTTTGTTGGGGGTGGGGGAGGATTTTTCTCTTAAAAGCCACTGCAAAGACTTCAGACTTTTTGTTGAGCTCAGCTGAAGTTAAAGAATGTACATATTCTTCAATGTTTCATCCTGTAGAGTCCCAACTGCCAGTCTTGACAGTCCCAGATGTCATTATGGCAAACTACACAGATAAAAGTGATTTTTTTTCTTTCCTGCTCCTCTGTATTTGACTAATTCCCTCTCTCACTACTTTTTTTGTGATTAAGGCTCAGCAATTAAAATTTACAGCCATGGTTTTCTGTGAGGTTTCCTATTCCCATGAACTAAGAAGGAAAAAAAAAATAAAAAAAGATGTGAAATTCTTATCATAAAAATGAGCAATAACAGCATAATTAGTGCTTGGTACCATAATTGCAAGGCATATTAGAAGTGCACTTGATGGCATTGTATTATTACTTTGTACACATAAAAGCTGGAAGAGCAAGCCAATAAGATTAAATAATGGTTCTGCTGAAGCTTCTCAAGCTTCAACCTGTGTCAGGCAGGGAGTTTGGGGGATTTTTAGCATGTGCTGATGGAATCCCTGAGCTTGTGTGCACAACTTGAAGGTGCAGTTCATCAGCTTGGCTACACACTCCTTTCTCCTCTGTGTTTGTGACCAGAGTTAATGTGGTTTTATCCCCTGGGAATGTGCTTTCTGTGGGCTTTGTCTCCATTCCTGTGAGCTGAGGAGGAACATTAGAACGTTTGGAGTGCTGCAAGTCCCATCATTTCATCTGGAGATCAAACGTGCAAATGGTCTCTGAGCACTGAGGAATTTCTGGGGTGAGGTCCCCACTGCATTAAAATAAATTATTATCAGTTGATAATCTTGCACAGCAGGAGCAGCCCAAGGTAGAGGCTTTTATTTTTCAAATTAAAATCTTATTTAGCTACAGATAAAAATGAATACTGGGCCCAGGGTGAATGAGTTATTTGGGTGATAAAAATGGACAAATGTAATCATCAGGTGTTTTAGCAGTGCTGAGAAGTTTACAGTTGTTTTGTGTAGTTGTTCTTTCTTTTACTGAGATTCTAAGTTAGGAAAAAAATACATAAAAGAGACACATCTCTCATAAAGCTTTTACCAATTTTGTGTTATTTCCTATCGACATAAGAATGCGTTTGGTTTTTCAAAAGCAGTGACCTGAAATGAAAGGCAGCAGAGTGCTGTGGCCTGTCACTGTGGCCTCTCACGTTGACCATTCTGTCTCCAGGGCTCAGCAAAGGCAGCTGAAATTGAAATTATCTCTCCAAGGAGAAAAAAAATAAAAAAATTTACTTGGAAGCTTTAGATTCTTTTTGTCATTGACTTTCTTAAGTCTATACATTTTTGTTCTGGAAGAATTTTAGTATTCTACTACCTATAGGTTACAAAATTTTCCTTGGAAAGCACTGAAGCAAGAACAATCAACATTCCAGTGACCAGATCACACATTTGGGTGTCACTCATTTGTCATCACCCCAAGCCCCCAGCTGAAATCAAGCCCCTGTAACAAACCCCACCAATTTTTCCCCCCTGTCCCAGAGGAGTCTTCTATCTTAAAATGTCTTTGTATTTCTGAACCTTTTGGGCCACTATATCCAACCAAAACCTATTGGGAAATTTTGCCCCTGGCAATATTTACGATTGTGGGTATTTAAACACTGATCTCCGTATGTTTGGAGCATTAATGAGCAGTTCTCAAATTCAATCCACATGGAAAAGTAATTATATGGGTCACTGATTAGGGAGTCTCCCTGGCAAAGCTGGAAATTGTCTTGGAAAAGGTGATTTAATCACCAAGCCTTTGCAGTCAACACAATGCCCTTATAAATAGTGTTGTGGAGTGCTGAGAGCTCACGCCTGAGCAAATTGAAATCTCAGCTGTCTTATCCAAGATGATTAGACTTGACAAAATCAGTCACCCAGGGATATTTTAGAGTACTGCCATGGTGGGATTTAAGGGAAGGTTCTTCTGCTGGAGAAGATTTGTGAGCTGATGAGAGTTAGAAAATTATGTTCTCGGTGGTTGGAACATGAAATGTCGGTTTAAAATAGGAATTATGAGACTTCGGGCTGACAATAGCACAATAATTACAGCTGCCTCACCTCTGCTGCAGTCCTGGGAGTTGTGGTGGGTGGTTAAAGGCTAAAGCTACTTCTGGAAGCTCCAGCAGTTATCCTAGGGACAATATTCCCTGTCCCTACCTCTCTCCTGCCCCAAGTGGAGGCTTTCCAGAATTCCCTTCTGTGTCTCTTTTGAATTCTTTACAACTTTTACCACCTATGAATAACTTGTACTTTTGGAACACAGTCAGTCCATCTGCATTTGATCCTGTTGAGACACCTAAAAGAGTGCCTAGGAACAGACAGTATGATTCTTATCACTGCTTACCTCTGAAATTCTGTTTCACATTTTCAGTGATCTGCAGTGCCAGTGATGAATCTCAACTCCACAAACACCATAAAACACCCCAAAACTCCTGGGACACCTGAGATGGCAAGGAGTGCTCCAGGAACAGATTACAGCAAAGGATGACAATTCTTTAAACAACCTGACACCCCCTGGCACTGCCAGGACCCACATCCCTAAAATATCCCTTCAGAGAGAGCTCAATGCACTGAGCACCCCTGTGCTGACACAGCTTCCACCTCTTACACCAGAGGATGGAACAAGCCTGGAACATCTCCTCAATTATGGATCTCTCATGGATGAGTCACATTGTGCTCTGGAACTGTGCAGATGGCTGCCAGATCCCTCACTGGAAAAAAAAAGGGAGATTCTGCATTGCTTTGCTTACTGGAGAGTAAAACAAAGCATAACTGGAGTGGCAGGAGAGCCTGGAGTACTGTAAAATTTATTCTGCTGTGATGCAGTATATTTACTTCATCTCTGCATTAATGAGAGAAGTTATATGGGAAAAATCCTGCCTGCTTTAAGCTATTTCATTCTGGCAGATTAGAAAAAAAAAAAAAAAGTTTTAGTGGATCTTGATTCAAGACTGGAAATCTTCAACCAAGAATTCTCTTCTGATTCCCAGATGGAAAGATATATGAAATTGGTTGTTGTGGTGCAAGGGATACAAGCAGCTTTATTGTGCTGATGACAGCTCACAGGCTGCACACAAAGCCCCAGCACACTCCCATGTATATGCAATTAAATGGAATGTAAAATCCAAATTGATTTGTGCCTCCTTTCCTTCTCACAGCAGTCCATCAGAACACAGTAAATGCGTTGGAATAATGGGAAATCCACTTGCTCTTTTCTGTGCCATCTCTTTCAGATAATGTCTGTGGAATTCCTGAGGAATGTTTTTACAGTGCAGCTGTTTGCTTGGCTTTATGCAAGCAATTTGCAGAACTCTTTTCAGATATCCACCCTCTCAACAGAACCTTTCTGGAAGTGGAACTAAACAGAAGAATGTAACAAATACTTTTTAATCTAAGAGTTTAGAATGTTCTACATCTTAAGTCTGTAGAAAATCGGTGGGTTTTTTCAGTCTTGTATTTTTTTCACCTTTTTCTTCCCTAAAATGTTTTCAGCTCTCACAGAACAGTGACATCCAGAGGCAGGTTGATGATCACGTCTGAATTTAGTTAATAATGATATTTTTTTCTACTTTATGTACTTGTAATATATTTCACAAAAGGGGATAAATGATCACAGAGAAGTTAACCACACTGAAGTACACAGCAATTTATTTCAGATGCTTCTGTTAAAGTACATCAGATTCAGAGGTGTTCAGGACACCCATAAATCCAGAGAAATGAAGAAAAACGTGGATGTTTTATAGAGAGGTTGCTAGAAGCTCAAGGAATCCAATATTAGTGACTTTTCAGACAGAAGGAGGAGGCTGTTCAGCTCTGCTGTGGTCAGTAGTTAGTTGTGCTGTCTGCCAGGGGTGATCCCAGGTAGTCATTCTTGCTCTGGTGAGCCATGAAACGCAGCAGCCCTCAGGAGGAAGGGAAAGGAAACTGCTTCAGAAGCTCTCTGAAATGCTGGTGAGCCAACAGAACTGAGATCTGCCCCATTTCAGCACACAGAGGAAGCCCTCTGTGCACAGAGTACAGATCACCACGTCTTGCTGGCTGTGGGTTTGTAGGTGACAGAAAATTCTCTGTGGCTCCTTCAGGGAGCCATTCTGTGACTCGTGATCCTCACCTGCTCCCCTCGGTGTTATCCCACCTCTGTGTCCATGCTGTGGCTGTTTCCACATCAATATCCCACAACAGGGATAGCTTGTGCGTGAAGATGAGCAGATTGCTGCCTTTTGGGTAAAGTGCTGCCTCTCTTTCCCTTTCCTATTGGCACATCCAAGGTTTCTTGTTTGGAATTTGCCCAGATCTGCTGAGTCAACACTGGGGAGGGTGTGCTGGGTATTGACTGCTTCTCCCAGGAGACCAGTTCTGCATCCTTGATGGGATGGTTTTTTTGGAGGTTGGATTTAGAGCATGTCCATCTGTTTATGACAGCCTGCCCATCGTGTTACAGCATCTGCTATGAAAAAAAATGTAGTGGTTTGGCTTAAAACAAACAGAAGTATGAAAACTCTCAACAACAAAAAGTTATTTGATGGGAGAGTGTCAGAAGTAATTATACTGTGAGTGAAAGCTAAAAAAATCACAACCAAACAAATAAACTTGTAGAACTAATGTGGCTATTAGAATTAATGTGTTTATGCCCGGATGAACAGCTGTCCAAAGAATTCTGTTAGATTTATGAACAGCACATGAATTTAGTGACAGCTGGTAATTCTGTTAAGCATAGCAAACCTACAGCCAAAGGATACCACAACAACAACAACAACAACAACAACAACAGTGTTTTTTAGGGGAAGATGAAGCAAACCCCATTTCTGTGCAGGAAGGTTCATGTCCAGGAGTTGGGTGAACAGGCAGGGATGAGGGGAGTGAGCCAGAGCACATTTGGCAGATCTCAAAGTAACTGAAGCGCTCTCAGAGCAAGGAGGAAGACTGAGGTAGGTGAGACATGAGGTGGAAAACTTTTCCTAATGAATGAACAAAAAGTAGACAAGAAATAGGATGGTCTGCAGGAGTTGTTCGCCTCCAGCAAGCTCCAGGCGTACTTAAGGCACTTAGGGCCACATTGACTTAGAAAATAACATTACTTTGTTACATGGTCTCATGAACTAACTTGGCTTCTTGCAAAACTTCCATAGCTTTTGATCTTCTTCTTTTCTTCTTCTCGTGAACGTCTGCTAAAGTAGAGAAAGGGGCAGAATTGAAATGCAGAAGTGCATGGCTTTCATGTGAACTGCATCTCTAATGACTTCCCTTTGTACTTGTATAAATTTAAGCTACTCTGTCCAAGTTGTTTTTATTAAATCCAGCCCTCTGAGCCTTTCTAATGCTTGGAGTGAGTTCAGGAGGACTGAGTTTCCAAATGGAAATGCAGAGGGAGGTTAACACTTGTGGTGGAATAATTCAAGGCGTGCATGAAGTTGCTATTGCACCGTTTTTTCCATGGAATCCTCACTGGTCTGCTCCCTGCAAGGTGTGCAGCAAAAGGAGGATCACATTTACTTGGCTGCATGTCTGAATTGGATAGAGGGAAACTGAGCTTCAGGGCTACCAGAAAAAAACAAAAAACAAACCAGTAAAAATACAGATCAATATATTTATCCTCTAATATGGAAAATGAAGAGATGGTTTGACCACAGATGTAAATCATCTGATAAACAGATCCAAAAAATACCTTCTGTCAGATGTTATTTAAATTAGAATTGGTGTCAGTAAGCACAGAGGATTGTTGTAATATCAGGAGCTGTGGTGTTTAGCAGGGTTGCTAAGTACTGAAGATAACAGTAGTCACTGAATTTAGTCTCAAGCCTCTTGTTTGTGGGGCTCTTTTTAACCTATATTTCTAAATAAATTAGAGCTCCATAAGTGACCTGAAATGGTGTTAAAATTACAGGTACATTTCTACTTCTATTGGAGTATGTCACTCCAAATCATTTCTTCTCTGGTTTACTGGTTGCTGATAATTCATCAGGAATAAGAGAATTGCACACTGTTTTTTATTTTGTTACATGGTTGGAGGTAGCAACCTCTGTGTCACATCTCAGAAACAAGATGTGCTTGTGTTTTCTCAGTGACTTTCCATCTTCTCACAGACTTTGGTCTCTTGCTTTTTCATGACAAGAGGGTGAATAAATGTACCTGTCTTTAAAATGGGAAGGTGATGACTTGAGAAGATGAAGCTTTATGGTATTTCAACGTGTAGGGTTCTTTTAATTAAAGCAAAACCCATCTGATGGGAAAAACGACTTCATTTTCTCTTTCCAGTAAGTGCATGGATCTCGGGCTGTGTGTTTTTGTGGAATATTTGCTGGGGAATCAAAGGCCTGAGCACACATAAGGGCTGGTTCTCACTTTGTGTCAAGGTGTTGCTGTTTGACATTTCTTGGCTGCTGTGGCCTTGCTGTGATTCATCTCAACATGTTAACATAACAGAACATGACTGATGTAACAGCCTGTGACATATCCAAACAACACCAGCAGAGGCCAAGGAATTCCATTTTTAATACCGCTTCAAACAGGCTATCAATTTTTTTTTTTGAGAGTTTCTTTTCCCTTTCAGACTTCCTCAATTTTTTGTCATTTTGATCTGAATCCAAGTTAACTTCTGAGATGTTATGAGCAGAGTCTTTGTTTGAGAAGTCAGAAAGTCCAGAGAGGAAGCCCTGAAACAAAATGAAAGGCTGAATGTGGAACATTTATAATGAGCAAAACAGAAAGAAAACTGACAGTATTTAAATTATGGGGTTTTCAAAAATGCCTGTTTTGCATATGAATAGCTTAGAAGTTTAAGTTTGCTTAACCACAAACCTGAAATTAGGGTCTGCTTTTAGGACTTTTGCTCATTATAAAATTGTGAAAACATCATAATTGTCAGTATTTTTGATCTAGTAGATATGGTTTTGCATTGAGGCAGAATTTCACTGTACTCAGCCTTCATCCTTGGTGTGAAAATGCCATCACCATCACTTTGCTTTGATTGTTCCTGAGTGCCCTGAGCTTTCCTAAACCTTCCAGCAGTTCATCCAACAATGATTCCCTGTAGTAAAAAGAAGGGTTTGGGAGAAGGATTGCATCTACAGATGGACAGCTTAGGCCCCCATGAAAACTCACCCATTTTAAACCTTCTCAGCTCTAAATTTTGCCCTGTTCTCTCTTTTGAAGTATCTTTTACCTAGTTTTGTTTGGTTTCTCCTTTCTTCAGTTGGATAGAATCATAAAATCCTTCTCTGCCCCTGTTCTTATGGATATATTAAGAGAAGCAATGCCAGATTTTAGGTACATCCCTACTTTGGAGAGTTGTGTCTCCCCTGGGAGGGGATCCCAACCTGCTGGGTCCCAGTGAAATCGTGAGCAGGGTCTGGATGTCAGGCTGGAGAAACAGAGCAGCAGTGACTGCTGCAGTTAAAAATCACCAGGAAATCATGAAATCAGAGGAATATGTTAAAACTGCAGCCATCCTTCCTGCAGAATGTTGACCCAAAGGCTGAGCAGCCAAAGAGAGCAACTTTTTTTCTGTAGTTAAGAGAAAAGAAGAGGTGAAAATGCCAAGAAACTTGTGGTGTTTATTGGGTTCAAAGAAGAAGCTGAACCAATGTGCTCCTTTTTTCTGGTCTCTGTGTACTTTTTCTAGAACTAGAAGTTCTCCTTGGAACATTTGCTCTGAATGTCTTTAGCAGTGTCACAGAAAACTGTGAGTTTAAGAAAACTTTTTATTAGGAAGAGTTTGAATATTTCTTTCTTTGCCATCATTGGGAAGAAAAAAACCACAGGGCTTTTGTTATTCTAATGTGATTTTTTTCTATTGGTGGTTACTCCAGAAATAGAACAAGTACTATCCTGGAGATCAGACTTTTTTTCTGTCTCAGAAATTCTGTATCTTAGAATTGTAGCATACAAAATAGCAATCAGCGACTATTGTGCTTTGTTTATTTATTTATAGCTCTGATGAACATAATCAAACCAGAAAAACAGAAGCACAGTAGAAAGAAGAGCTGAAAAAATGAAATGTGAACAGGAAAGGGAAAGCAACCATTAGAGAGCAGAAAGATGACTCTGCTCATCTGACTGACACTGGTTACAGGATGTGTTACAGAATGTGCTGGAGCACATGAACCCCAAATCAGCACAACCCAAAAACCTGGATTATTGAAGAGTGGTCATTTTAGACAGTAAGGAGCCATATCACCCTTTCAGTATAGATTTCTAGCTAATGCCTTGATTTTGCTAGCAGACACAATTTTTTTCTTGTAAATTTTCAAATACTGATGTCTAGTTTGCTTTGGTGCCTTGTTTCTGTATTCGTGTGTGGCTCCTATGTTTTGATTGTTGGTTTTCCAGATTATTTGTGGAAATAAAGTGACCAAGGGGTGATGGGATTTGCTTGGATTGCAGGTAATAAAGGGAATAGATTACTTTCATTTCAGTGTAACTTGAGAATCTGAAGTACCTTCTCTGCAGCTGTCTTCTGCCAAAGACCTGGTATATAAGGTATAGGAAAAGATATATGGTATATATAACTTATAGGAAATATTTTTTGAGGAGGAAAGCACAAATAAAAAACTCCTGGTGAATTGTTTGTAATTTGTGTCTAATCTTAGCTTTATTATGTTTTAAATGACAAGATGAACATACATGATAGGAATCTTGGAATCTTCTGGCCATCAAGTTCAGTTTTATATATTGAAAAGAACTTCATCATGTAATTTCTTTAATAAAGGAAAAAAATTATATTTCTTTTTCTTCTTGTAAAAAAAGAAAAAAGATAAGAAATTATTTTTTTTTATTTCTTCCCCCCACTATCCACCTTTGAAATTAATTCCAGAAAAGATACTCATTCCCTTTTATGGCTGGGAGTATTTGTTCAGTCTCCAGCAAGTTCCTATAAATATGCCAGTTCCTCTTCTACTGGAAATTGCTTGGAGATACATTTATTTATATGAACTTACCTTTGCCAACCAGTCAGCAGTAACGAGTTCCATGATGTGAATATCAGCATTCACATCTCAGCGTTCATAAAAGACACAAATAATAGAGGATCACTGAACAGTAATTGCAGCCTTACATCCATAATGTACTTTACTTACAACTGAATTATTAAGATACCTGACTTGAGCCCCCAAATGTAAGCACCTCTCTTACCTATTGTCATGCATTCAGCAGCTGCTGCTCCTTCTGAAGTGGAGGGTTTTGATAACCCATCACTCTTCCATCACCTGTAGTTTAAAAGAGAACCTCTGTTTTGAAACAGAGAGAAGAAATAACCATCTTTGGAGTGCTAATCAGCTGCAGCTGATGGAGCCTGTGCTCTTTTCTGAGGAGCAGAGAAGATGACAGTCACATTAGTTCTTACAGAAATAAAAGGAAAGTTGGGAAGGCAGGATGGGAGTTTATCTTGTCCTCCCCCAGCTCACATTAGCATCAGTTACTGTCAGAGTCTTGTGGAGTTCCCTCCTGCTGGGAGAGAATCTTGTACCAAGAGATCTGCAGCCCCTGAATTCATAACGTTCCATGGACTTGTGAGCAGATATTTTAAAAAGCATTATTTTTGAGAGATTTTATTGCAGGATTGAGATAAATAATGTCTCTTTAAAATAATACTGTTGAGCACAAATCAAACAGTTTCGTGTGATTTGAATAATCTTCATTTTGTTGGAACTTTGGTAATGGGTGAGTGTAAGGAAATTACCCCATTTTGTTGGGTGTGCCAAATTTCTGGATTAAGTCGAATATATATCCTGTGTGGGGCATATTCTGTGATTTTAATATATCAGGGTCCTGTTGAATTCTTTCATTTATTTTAATTTTATAGTTTTGTTTTGCTTTTTCCTGTCTTTGATGTGATGGTATAGGAAAACACAAGATCTAAAGTAGATTGACGTCTACCTTATATAATTGAATGTGTTTTCACAGCTCCTGAGTTTTCCTGGGAAATATCTGCAAATATTCTATGTCAACATGTCCTTGTGCCTCCCCAGCCCCGTGCACTATCCTCATTTACCTGAAAATTGGGAGGGAAAAGAGATCAGCAGACTCTCAGTCTCATACCCTGAATATCGAGGGCCAAGAGCATTTCCCAATACCTCCAGTATAAAGCCCATTATTTTTCCATAGTTCCTGTTTTATCTCCAGTGTAAATATCAGGAAACCTGAATTTATCTTTTAGTATTTTAAATACTTCAGTGTGTAAAGATTTGGTTTTTAATGATTGTGAAAACTGGGACAAAATCTTCTCAGAGATGTCAGCACGTGCCTTTTCCCTCCAGCTGGTCCTGGAGAGCAGGATCCAGTGGCAGAGGAAGGATTTATCTGAATTGTTTTCGTCCATGAAGTTCCATGACCTGGCACAGGAACCCAGTTAATTGTTCTAATTAATGGTGTGTAGGTTTCCACTCTTACTCCCATACTGGTCTATTGAGTTCCTTCCAGGCACATCTCTGGAGCTCTTTCTTGATTTTTAAGAAAGCAGAATTTGCATTTTCACTCAGAGAATTTTTTTTAAAAGCTAGATTTCTGCTTTTCTCTGTCAGTGCCAGAGAATCATTAGCAAATGCTGCAAGATTTATTGTCTTGGAAATGTCTACAGTAGATCATAGTCTTTAACTACTGAGGATGATGCAGGGAAAAGAGAATGTGTGTTTAGACAAGATGAATTGTGTTTGTCTTTCCACTTATATTGAAATATTTATGTGCATTTTTGTAACATTACGTTAGAGAATTTGCATGTTACCCATGTGTCACATCAGATTAAAGATGACCTTAAACACAGAAGTGTGAAGAGCTGTAGGAGTACTATATGTGTAATATGTTCTACTCACAAAACCAATTATCTTTTAGAGTTCTTTTTTTCCTCTGGAAGATTTTATTTCCTAATTGCATTCCCATGATCACCTTTGTAATTTTCCATATTTCACTGCAGTACACAGATATAAAGTATAAATTAATTTCTTTGCTAGAGCAGCTGTGGAATCAGCCTCATCCAGTATTCCATTTGTGGTGGTAGTAACCAGCAGCAGAGATTTGAAAGAAAACTGCAAGAATTTTTTTTAAGTGAATAATAATTACATTAATTACTCAGAAGGTAAATTTCCTCCTGAAATGAATTTCTGATTGATGGTATCCTGTATAATGTATCCTGTAAAATCATAGACTTCATTTGCAGATACTTTATCGGGGAAAAAAAATCCCTATTATTGTAAAAATTTAGTGCTGCTGGAACTCCAGATATTTTAGGCTTGGTTATTCTACTGTGCTGTGCTTTTTGGTGTTGCTGGGCTCTCACAATTCAGTGCTTAATTTTGTACAACATAAACTACAGAACTCTTCTCACATTAAAAATACATTCCTTTATATAAAATTGCCTCAGCAATTTGTCCAGACAGATAATTCAGATACACGAGGCAATGAACAAAAGGTGATTAAGGTGTGTAGGCAGTAGGGAAGAGTCATGCTGAAAATCCATGATCTTACACGCTTTGGGAAATTTGCAATAATCTGTGGTTTATTTAATTGGAATGTTCCTGAATGTCTGCTGAAGAGCAGGGGCTGGCACCAGAGCCACCACAAGCTCTGAGTGGAGCTGCTCTCAGTTCCAGCTCTTCCAGCAGCTCCAGTTATCCTGCTCTGCCCATGTAAGTGCAGAAAATCCCAGAAGAGGCAGGAGAAGGCCAGCAGCAGCAGCCCTGCTCAGTGTCCACAGCAAAACCACTCAGGATGGATGAGATAGAGAAAATAACAGCAGTAAAATCCTCTCCATCCCCTTCACCGTGGCTTTGCTGTGCCCTGAATGCAAACCAAGCTGAGCCCACCGCTCAGTGACTCCTGCTAATGGAAAAGAGGCTAAAAATGTCATGCCTTGTCCCTTTGTTTTTTGTGGACTGAGGCATTTTAAAAAAAGAAAGCTCAAGTATTTCCCATTTTTCCCATCTGTCTCATTCATTAATCAGAGCTGGCACTGATTGTGCTCCAGCTCAGGCTCTCATTCCCCAGGTCACTGTGTGTCTCACACAGCTCTGCAGTAGCAGCACTCGTTTATCTCAAAGTGCTATAACTGATATTTAAAGGTCAATATTGCCTCAAATCATCAGTGGGTTTGAGTGCTCAAAAACAACGGCACCAATGCACCCACTCACAGAGGAAATCTCTGGTCAGCTACTTTAATTCTAAACAATTGTACTTATCAAAAGTGAAGACATGACTTTTGGGAGCTGATATTTCCCTTTCTCTATAGGCAGGAGGCATTGCCTTATGAGAAACATTTGTGATCTGGTATTTCTTTGTGAAAAGCCTGAAATATTTTTGTTGGAAAACTTTCTTATTTTCAATCACAATAAATGTGGTAAAATGTTCTACTACTATTTGTCTAGATAGATGTTATTAATGTCAAGCACTTAGGAGGAGAAAAAATTACCAAAATGCTCAACAAAATATTCTTCAATTTTTAAAGAAAATATTGATTTAAAATATATTTTTATTTATATAATTAATAAAAAATATATTTTATATTTTAATTTATATAATTTATTTTAATTATTATTTATATGTAATTTATATTATATAATTTATATAATTGATATACTTTATATATAAATTTATATAATTAATTTAAATATTTATACACTTAATTTAAATAAATTTATATAATTATATAAAACAATACTTTAATATAATTAATTAAAATATATTTTATCTATTTTAATATTTTATATAATTAATTAAA